GAGTCTTTTACCCCCTGGAGTGTTACCGGAGTTTTTGGAGTGCTCAAATAAACTGGACTTTTTCCCGAACGCTCCTCTGGTCTCCTGCTCGTGAGGGATTCATTACAATATGGTAACATGGCTTAGATTTCTAAATAAACATTCACCTCGTCGCTAGATAGACCTACTCCTGAAAAACTCGTGCGCAAGGCTTTTTGTCCCTACGAGGCCACCGTCATTTACCCGACGGGAGGGGTGAGCGAGTGAGCCCTGCAATCTAGAATTTGACCACTGATGTCACTGTTTTCAACCCATTTTACACACTGGCCCTTTAAAAAAGTCTTTTTATTGACGCTGAATAACACACGTGATGTCTGAACAGTTCTGTGTTTAACAGTCACACGTCTAAATGTGAAACTTTGTCACTGATAATATCAAATATACAGCAAACCTGTTCAGTAATTAACCGAGGAATGTGACAAAGAGCTCAAGGCATCAAACTGCCCTCCAAATTCCCAAATTCCCCAGATCCAATCTAACTGAGCATCTGTGGGTACGTGTGTGTGTGTGTGTGTGTGTGTGTGTGTGTGTGAGCCTACCAGCTGCAGGTTTTTGCTTCTTGGCCACCAGTCCTGACGCACTCTCATTTTTGGTTGTCATCTCTGAAAAACATTTTAAAAGGTGAAACACAGAAACTGAAAACAATTCTCCGACCTCTTCAGAATCGTCTCAGGCTGTTAGTCTGGAGTTTGTAAAGTGTAAATAGAGCCATCTGCTGGGCTTTTATTGTGAGGTTTAAGCAGAGTTTATTCTGTGCAGATATCACAGATGTCTGGGAGGAGACCCTCGGTGAGAACACATTATCTCAACAGGTGGAGTCTGAACCTGGATTTGATTCACTTTTCTGGTTAGTTTCTGTCTTTGTTTTGTGCTGCGACTTCTCCTTGTTCCTCCACTTGGAGTAAATTATGCTGTTTAAATAAGGTTTTGCTTGCTCCATCGTCTGAACTCACTTTTTTCTTTCTGACGTTGTTTCTTCAGTTTCTCCACGAAGGGGCGCAGGTGCTCCTGGACAGCAGCATCATTCCTGGGTAACTGCTTCATCTCTTTGTCTATGATACTGATGGACCCCTCTGTCCCGTAGTACTGGATGATTATGTACGGGATCTCTTCTCTGGTCTTGTCCGTCTTCACACCTTGAGGAATTTTGACCAGGTTGAACATCAACTTCCTGAACTGCGGCTCGGTCAGCTCCTCCAGGATGGAAGTCAGAGCTGTTTTCCACTTTGTCTCAAAAATCTTCAGCGACATCTGAAACACAGAGAGACCAAAGAACAAGAGAAAGTTTCCACATTAAAAACAGAAAATACTTGAGAGTATTGTTGCTGATCAATTGACTGCCCATCTTTCTGCTAATAATCTCTTTGACAACTTTCAATCTGGCTTCCGCTCCTGTCATTCTACTGAAACTGCCCTGACTAGAGTTGTCACTGACCTGCTGATCACTGCAGACTCTGGATCAGCTTCCTTACTTTTAATTCTTGATTTGAGTGTGGCTTTCGATACCTTAGTTCACTGTGTGCTTTTAAATCGGTTAGAGCATTGCGTTGGTGTACATGAGCTGGCACTCTCATGGTTCCAGTCTTATTTATCTAGCAGATCCCAATGCGGTAGTTTTAATAATTCTAATTATAATGAATAATGAATGTTCTACTGTCATCTCTGGTGTGCCCCAGGGTTCTGTCCTTGGCTCTCTGTTGTTTTGTATTTACATGCTCCCTCTGGGCAAGAGCTTTTCAGAATATGGCATTAAGTTCCATTGCTATGCGGATGATACGCAGCTACACATGCCGCTGCAGCCAAATGACCCCTCCCAAATCCAAAATTTAGAGGCATGTGTATCCCAAATCAAACTTTGGATGTGTCACAACTTCCTTATGCTTAATGCTGCAAAGACTGACTTGTTAGTGAATGAGCCTAATAACTATAAGCATTTGTCTGAGGATCTATGTCTTAATATCAGTGGATGTATGATCACTGAGAGCTCACGCATTAAAAACTTAGGAGTTATTTTTGATTCGACTCTGACTTTTCAGCCTCATATCAAGGAAATCACTAAGACAACATTTTTTCATCTGCGTAACATAGCCAAAATCCGCCCTGTTTTATCTTTCCGAAACGCTGTTGTCACACAGTCATCGTGTTGTTCATGCTCTTGCGTCCTCTAGACTGGATTATTGCAATGCTCTTTTCTCTGGCCTCCCTAGCTGTGCTATCAGAGGTCTTCAGCTTGTGCAGAATTCAGCCACCAGACTTTTGACAAGAACCAGTAGATATAGCCACATAACTCCTGTCCTGGCTTCACTGGCTGCCTGTTCAGGCTAGAGCTGATTTTAAAGTTCTTCTTTTAACTTATAAGGCCTTAAATGGAATGTGGAATGTGGGAGGAATGGCCTCCCATTAGTTATTAGAGAAGCTACCTCCACTGCAATTTTTAAATCCTGTCTTAAAACACACCTTTTTACTCAATATTTCGGTTAGTCCAATTTGTAACTGTTTTATCACTGTCTTTTTGTGCTTTTATTATTGTTTTTATTGTTTAGTCTTTTATTGTACTTGGTTTTTATTGTAAAGTGTATTGAGACCATGTACCATGGTGGCATGGACTCCTCGTGACCTCTCACAGTGTGCTGTGGTATCTGGCACCAAGACGTTAGCAACAGATCCTTTAAGTCCTGTAAGTTGCGAGGTGGGGTCTCCATGGATCGGACTTGTTTGTCCACCACATCCAACAAGTGCACGATTGGATTAAGATCTGGGGAATTTGGAGGCCAAGGCAAAACCTCAGGCTCGTTGTTGTGTCCCTCAGACTATTCCTGAACCATTTTGCTTTGTGGCAGGGCACATTATCCTGCTGAGAGACGCCACTGCCATCAGGGAATACCACATTCGGACAGGGGTCAGCATGTGCACCCTGACTGGTCTGCGGCTTTGCAGCCTCATACGCAACAAACTGCGATGCACTGTGTATCCTGAGACCTTTCTATCAGAACCAGCATTTGCTTCTTCAGCAACTTGAGCTACAGGAGCTCATCTGTTGGATCAGACCACACGGGCCAGCCTTCGCTCCCCACATGCATCAATGAGCCTTGTCCGCCCATGACTCTGTCACCAGTTCACCACTGTTCCTTCCTAGGACCACTTCTGATAGATACTGACCACTGCAGACCGGGAACATCCCACAAGAACTGCAGTGTTGGAGATAGTCTGACCCAGTCATCTAGCCATCACAACTTGGCCCTTGTCAAAACACACTCAGATCCTTACGCTTGCCCATTTTTCCTGCTTCTAACACATCAACTTTGAGGACAAAATGTTGACTTGCTGCCTGATATATCCCACCCACTAACAGGTGCCATGGTGAGGAGATAATCAGTGTTATTCACTTCACCTGTCAGTGGTCATGATGTTGTGCCTGATCGGTGTATATCATGTATTCATATTTACACCTCAAAGAGAACTCTGTATTTCATTTGTTCCTGTGGAGGGACTCATCCGACAGCCTGACAGCATAACATCTGTTAAATCTCACAACCCAACTGCTGAAGCTGGTTTATGTAACACTGAATGTACCCTCTGCCCCTAACTGTTTTTATTTATCACTGTTTGTGTGTGTGTGTGTGTGTGTGTGTGTGTGCGCCCACTTGTGCCCATCTTTGTTCTGTTTGACCTTGGGTGTTTTGAAAGGTCTTCGTCTTCATCGTCCTCCGCTTATCCGGGTCCGGGTCGCGGGGGCAGCAGCCTCAGCAGAGAAGCCCAGACAGTCCTCTCCCCAGCCACTTCCATCAGCTCTTCCGAGGGAACCCTGAGGCGTTCCCAGGCCAGCCGGGCGACGTAATCCTTCCAGCGTGTCCTGGGGCGGCCCCGAGGTCTCCTCCCAGTTGGACATGCCCGAAACACCTCCCAAGGGAGTCGTCCAGGAGGCATCTTTATCAGATGCCTGAACCACCTCAACTGGCTCCTCTCGATGTGGAGGAGCAGCGGCTCTACTCCAAGTCCCTCCCGGATGTCCGAGCTCCTCACCCTATCTCTAAGGCTGAGCCCAGCCACCCTGCGGCCGCTTGTACTAGCAATCTCGTTCTTTCGGTCACTAAGGTGCCTTTCAAATTAAATGTATTTTTTTTAATTAATTAAAACTGAAGCTTCAATACAGAGCAGACAGAACAAACATTATCTACTAACTGTAAATCTTATTTCTGACATTTCTTCTCACTTCACCACTTTAATGTTACTGCTAACTGAATATTGAACATGTATACCAATTTACACACATGCATGAGGAGGTGGAGGGGACAGTGACAGCATTCTGAGTTTTACAAGCAGCAGCTGTGCTCCGAAAATCTGCGGAGGCACAGATTCTGTACGGACCTGCTGATAACATGTTCAATCACTACAGGCAGTGGTGGAATCTAACTACTACACATCAGCGTATGCATCAGCCATGTTGAGTCCAAACCTTTAAACCTTCAACAACATCATTATCTTCACAGGGAAAAGTAACCGATCGTGTTACTGGCTGACACAGGAAATGAAGGTATGAATACTCGACATCTTTTCTTTGTTCCACCCTCCAGTTTGATGCTGTATGTGTAATGATGTGTTTAAGGATCTGATCTGACAGAAGATTAACTGTTTAAGAGATGAAAGTTTCTGGTTCATACTCACGTTCTCCTTTTCTTCACGACAGACAGTTTTATTCTGTAAATCAACAGCAGGCGTCAGAGAGAGTTGCTCTCAGTGGAACAGTGTCACAACTTGTTTGTGGCTGATACCAACTTCAGTCAGGTTTTGCTACCGCCGCCGCTGCCACTGCTGCTGCCACTGCCACTGCCGCTGCCGCCCTGCTTGTCTGGAAGAAATTATCAGATATACCTGAATTTTTTTTTTAATCATCAATTTTATTTTTGCCAACCTTGACAGTTAATCCTCCCCAACAATCAGCTTCAACCACTGTTTCCCCTCCTGTGATCGATGGTTTAGCCCACATGTAGAGAACAGAGCGGGAAACAAAGCGAGCGTGTGCTTTCAGTTTGTGTAAAAACTAAATACCACAGAGTGTTTTGTGGTCTGAGTTGTTACAAAGTGAGCTGATGACTTGTTCCAGCAGCGATAGTCAGTTGTTCAGCCTCAGTCTGTGGCTAAAGAACGATTCAGATACTTTACTTCTGTAAATGCAGTTTTACTGTACTGTAAAACAAATACTGTGCTACAAGTGGAAGTACTGCTTTTTAAATTTTAATTAGGAGTAAAAGCATTAGCAATTAAAATGTATTTAAAGTACCAAGAGTAAAAGTACTTTTGATGCAGAATGGCTCCAGTTCACATCCTTAAAGGAGCCACAGAGTGTGGCCGACTGTATGTCTTATTATTATTGCATTATTAACTGAGGAGCTCATTCAGGACTCACGCAAACCACACAGCTCTGAAATGGTGCATTTATTCAGCTGATGTTTGAATCCAAAACCACTCAGAATAAGTTCATTCAACATGTGGACACGATCCCTAAATCAGCTTCAGTCAATATGCTGCCCAACTGCACGAGCTACATTCAGAAACAAAAAGAGATAAAGAGGTTTATTATTTTGTTGTTAAAATAATTAGCTGTAACATAAAGTGATGAACACACTCTGTCTCTTAATTCTAAGATAAACACTGCAGAACAATTCCACTCTCTGACATACTGTATATTTCATAATAATAATTATCAATACATTAATCAGCATCGCTCTGGTTCCCTCGTCAAAAAGCAAACGGGATCTTTCCATTGGATTTTTGCAGAAAAATAAAATCCATGGAAAACAAACACTGATACGCACACGTTTTACTCAGCAGGACAATCTTCACTATTGAACGCCACTTTTAGGATTATTGAAGCCTAAATCTGTTAGCAGCTAGTTAACGTTAGCTGTTAGCAGCTAGTTAACATTAGCTGTTAGGTGTTAAGCTGGATTTATGTGAGCATTTATACTTGTGTGGTGGTGTGTCTGTGTCACTCTGCAGTTACACCTCCAAAACACTAGTCGACAGTGGAGGTTTCTGTGAATTGCTGTGAAGTTTAGTTGATTCATGGGGCGCTGGTGGCTTAGTGGTAGAGCAGGTGCCCCATGCACAAGGCTATTGCCGCAGTGGCCTGGGTTCTACTCCAGCCTGTGGCCCTTTGCTGCATGTCACTCCCTCTCTCTCTCCCCCCTCACACTTGTCTGTCCTGTACATTAAAGGCTTAAAAGCCCCAAAAAACACACAGTAAACACACATCAAACACACAGTAAACACACATCAAACACACATCAAACACACAGTAAACACACATCAAACACACATTAAACACACATTAAACACACATTAAACACACATTAAACACACATTAAACACACATTAAACATGGCTTCATAGAGACAGTTTCAAACACAAATCAGCTTCACTATAACTGGCAGCATTCACAGACAAACACTTGTCTTTATCTGGACACATTTTCCCCACAAATACAACATGCTAACATTATTAGCACAAGCCTATGGCATTTTACATTGTATAAATTAGCCTAGCAGCTAGCAGAGATTTCCTCTGCTCATATTTCAGCCAGGATAAATCACACACAGTGTGTGGAGGCTACAGGGACAGCTGCCTGCTCTGTTTTGAGACATGGCTCAAAGATACCATTGATGATGCGTCACTCCAGGTCGCAGGCTTTGGTGATCCCGTGAATGAAAGATGGTGCAAAAACTATACACTTAGGGAGTCCTACTGCTCTGAGGACATTGAGCTCCTGTCCCTATCATTCAGACCACATTATCTCCCTAGGGAATTTGGACAGATATTTGTCACGCTGGTCTATATTCATCCGAGGGCGAATGCCCGAGTTGCTGCAGACACCATATATGACACTGTGTGCAGGTTGGAGAATACTGCTCCTGACGCTCCCAAACTCATACTGGGGGACTTCAATGGCTGCACTATAAAACATGTTCTGCCCCACTTTCATCAGTACATCCATTGTCCTACGAGAGGAGAGCGGACACTTGACCTATGTTTCGGTAATATAAAGGAGGCATACAGGGGGTATCTGAAACCACCATTAGGTGACTCAGATCACAACACTGTACACTTGGTCCTCCTCTACAAACAGTGGCTTAAAACCAGCAAGCCTGAGCTGAGAACTATTCAGATATGGAATAATGACTCAGTGGACTGCCTGAGGGGATGCTTTGACTGTACAACATGGGACACTTTCATTGACAATAACACTAATTTGGATAAAGTCAATATGGTGGTAACAGATTCTATACTTTTTTGTGTGGACAGTACAATACCAACTAAATGTATTAAAATATTTCCAAATGATAAACCGTGGATAAATGGGGAGTTAAAAGTAGCACTGAAGAAGAAGAAACAAGCCTTTCAGCGGGGGGAGAGTAGACAGCTTAAAGTCATGCAAAAAGAAATCAGGCAGATTGTCATTAAGTGTAAAAAATAAATACGAACAGAAAATAGAAAGGAAGATGAGGGAGAATTCAATTCAATTTCAATTCAGCTTTATTTAAAGTGTAAAATCACCATAAACATGGTCTCAAAGCACTTTACAGTTCACATAGAAAAAAAAAACATTAGAAAAATACAATTTACAAACAAGCACAATTATTTACAAAATCAATTAAAATAAATAAAAAAGTGTTATCAAGTTGTACCATATGCTTGGGAAAATAAATAGGTTTTTAGTCTCAATTTAAAGATGTCAACGGATTCTGCATCCCTTACTGATTGGGGGAGCCGGTTCCAGAGAAGTGGGGCACGGTGGGAAAATGCTCTACCACCTGCTGATTTTTTGTTAACTTTGGGGACTGTGATGTACCATTAGGTTACCATTTTGTGAGCGGAGAGCACGTGTTAGAACGTATGGAATGATTAGTTCAGATAAGTATGGGGGTGCTAGGCCATGTAGAGATTTGTAGGTGAGTAAAAGCAGCTTGACGTCTGATCTGGACTGGATCAGGAGCCAGTGAAGAGTGATTAAAGCTGGGATTATATGATCATATTTCCTGGTTTTGGTTAGTATCCTGGCTGCTGCATTTTGAACAAGTTGTAATTTGTTTGTGCTGCAGTGTGGTAGGCCAGAGAAGAGGATATTGCAGTAATCTAGTCTAGATGAAACAAAGGCGTGAACTAAGATTTCTGCATCTGAGGTATTTAGCAGGGGACGGATCTTTGAGATGTTGCGTAGATGTAAAAATTTAAAGAACAATTTAAGACAGGCGTGGCAGGGAGTTTACACAATGATAGGACAGGAAAAAAAGGGAACATCACTGATAGGTAGTCATGGGGATGATCTGATTTTTGCAAATGAATTAAACAGGTTCTATGGCAGGTTTGATACATCAGATTTCAACAACGAGCGCAAACCGGTTGAGGCAACATCTCGAACCTGGCCAACAAGTTATTATTACAACAGAAGAAGTCTGTCAAACCTTCAAGAGGATTAAGCCAAAAAAAGCAGCAGGTCCTGACAGGTTAACTGGAACGGTACTGAAGGAGTGTAGGGAGGAGCTTAGTTACCTGTTTAAAATCTCACTGGAGACGCACTGTGTCCCTAGCGCCTGGAAATCCTCACTAATAGTGCCTGTTCCGAAAATATCTGAACCACAGACTTTAGGTGATTATTGTCCAGTAACCTTATTTCAAGAACATTGACTCCACCTCCCTCAACCAGCATCTCCAGCTCCTTTCTCCTCCTTCAAACACATCACTTACTGACCTCATGGACTACTACAACCATAATCTTCACTCTATCCTTGACTTTCATGCTCCACTAAAAACCAGGACAGTCACCTTCACCCGTTCCGCCCCCTGGTTCACAGAGGAGCTGAGACTGCTGAAGAGGACCGGCCGAGTCCTTGAGCGGGCCTATGTCACATCTGGGCTGACGGTGCATAAGTTGGCCTATCGGGAACATCGACGGAGATATGCCAAAGAACTCTCCAAGGCCAGGTCAGCACACTACTCCAACATCATTAACAATAACCCAGGTAATTCCAAACAACTCTTTACCACCGTCAAACACCTTCTCAAACCTCAGACTTCTCCACACCACAACCAAACAGTCACCCAGTGCAACAAATTCTTGGATTTTTTTACCTCCAAAATACACAATATCCGCGCATCTCTCTC